TGAAGTCTTCGTAGACTCGATATCATAAATGGGGATATGCAATGGAGGCACAGCCTTAAGCGCTTGTTAGACCTTAGAAAGGAAGTCTAGAACACTGAAGACAGTGGGACGACCACAGCGTTGCATACGGTAAGACCTGGAGGGGCGTCGTTTCGTGGACCACGCATGGTTTGCAATGAGGACCAGACCGACACGTTGAGGAAAAAGAGGGTGCTCATCAACCAGCAGCCACCAATAGAGGTCCGCTCTCCTTCAGACGGCGAGGAAAAACACTGCCAACAGTGCAAGTGGTATGCACCGCATTCGCCCAAGTGACGTTTGTATGGCTATGTTCCAGGAAGCACTTAGACGCCCGTGCGTATCAGGTTGGTGCCACCTCAGTAGAGTTATGCCTAGAAAGAAACACAAAAACAAATTCGATGATCCCTTTACAATCTTCCTAGCCACTCGTGGCTACCAGGTTGGCGCAGTTAGACAAAATACACGACGAAGGGAAAGGTCACGTACTAACATATATGACCCTTTGGAACGTGCTTGAAACAAGTGCCATCCTTGACCGAAAGATGTTATGGATATCGACCTTTCTTCAGATGGTCCAGATGAGGTTATCGTTCGGTAAATGATTTGGAAGTTATCGGCATATCCTGAGGCCAAGACAAGAACAATTTGTTTTGGATCGGGTCGTAGTCGGATGAGGGGCAAAACTTACATTGTAACCGCCTGGTAAGTACACTACACAGGTGCTAAAATCAAGGCCGCTTGCTTGGCCGCTCTTGTTTTTCTCCATCGATCCAGACATCAACCTTTTCGTCATAAAAAGCTACAAACCCCCTTATCGAAGCACATTCCAATGTTGTAGTCGGATACCACCAGATTGCGTCCTTGATAGTCTCTCCAGATGATAAGACGATATCGTAATATTTTGCTTCACCCTGATTTGCGGTTGGACGTCAGAAAGCATTGATTGTGTATCGCGACAAAAAGAGGCTTGAAAATGACGAACCTTGTATGGACAGGCAGTTGTTGTGTCAGAGGGTTCCCATAAATCCATTCCACAATCGGTTTTAGGAATGTACATGCGGACGGGAAGACCAGTCTCGAAAAGGAGATGCGGCGCGCGAGTGTTGGCTATCTCCAGTCCGTTGACCTCAATTCGGACGTGTCTTGATGACTGGAGAATGTCCACGCGCTGTTTGTAAAAAAAGGTTAGCCAATCGCGTTATATACCGAGTAAGTTAATCATACTACGGACCTTATAGGGATCCTTTGGATGAACGAAAATTTGCTCATCTTCCTCAAACCACGCGTCCATCTTGTCAAAGGCGATTGTGAACAGCCCGGACAGCTCATTGGTAAAGTACCGAGTGAGGGCTTTCCGTCCTTTGACAGAGACGCCGACGTTATAGATCGCCAGCTCATCGGTGACATCTGAGACTTCCAAGTACCAGTTGGGTAGGCATTGCTCGTCAAAGAAATAAATAGGATAGTTTGGTTGAAGCCAACTATGATTTATATATTCAACTTTTTGACATCTTCAAACGGCACCAACGCTCACCTGAGACGCGTTGAATTGTTCTAGTCAACTTTCAAACAAAAAAAAGTGGCACTCACACAAGTTTCGCTTTCCTCGTATCTACAATGCAAACCCCCGAAATGTACACCCTAATTCGCTTTGCGCAGTCCTCGATGTGCGGCAGAGAGGGAAAGAAGGGCATGGCAGCTACTTAGTCAGTGATAGACAGGAGCAGGCTATGCAAGTAAGCTCTCTTATGTAATTACCATGTTTCGCCATTCAATTTGTCCTAGTACACTGAGCTCCACGCTGAAAGAGGGACGTTCCTGCCAATAAGTATGTCGCATCGCTGAGAAATTTTATTCTTTATGGGAACTTTGGTGCACGCTGAGGTAAGTACATTAGGCGCATCCACAGCACCAGTCCTTAACGATGGCATCTATCTGGTGAGCCGGATCACAAGGACAACAACGTCTGTCCTTCACAGAGCCAATGGAGCTATCATCTTTGGGAGCCTGCTGAATGTTTTATGAATCCAAGTCCAAGATGTGCTAGCAGAACGACAACTGTACTCACTTCGCTGTCCAGGCGATACATAGCGGGATCGAGGAGAGTGTCAACTTTGCGAACCTGGTGAATGGCCAATGAATCCCGAGTTGAAAGCAAGTTGGGAGGTTCATGAATATACGAACCCAAACATCTCGACGGTGCCATTCATCAGCAGCAGAGTTGAGTAGGATCTTGACGTGACGGGCAGGCTAATGAACGATCCATAAGTCCTAGGTAGTTCAGGCATTCAGAAAATGCTACTTCTACATACCTGGTTGCCCCCAAAATGCTGTTCGACATGAGCAGGCTTGAGAAAGCTGTCGGTTTTGTCTCCCAACCCAAGAGCCTGAGAAACAGTTAATGATCTATCAATCGCTCAATCATAAGGGAATCACACCAACCTCCGCATCAACGCTCTGAACATGTTCCTAGCATCGGTGCATATCAGAACGCATGACAGGCTTATTCGACACAGCATCCACCTCAAGAAGGGCTGGAACAGCTAATACGACGTAGCTGAAAGAAGAAAGGGCAGCTACAGTTGAGAAAAGAACAGTAGGCTTCATAACGGGCGTCGAATGGGAGTGAATGGGCCGTTGTTCGAGGGCAGTCTAGTAATGAGCGCAAGCAATATTTACCACGGTCGGCTTCTCATCTTCGAAATCGACAGTGTTTGCGTTCTACGCCATTTCAGAAAGGCATGACCACATGGTTAAGAAGGGTGGAGTTGAATTGGTTCTCCGTTAGACGCGCAATCGGTCAACTAGACCCCTGGACCTATTCCAAGAAACGCAGTAAGCATCATATGGAACATCATGCTGATGACCCACCCGAACTTGACTTGAACCTACTGGGAACGACGGCCTGTTGGCCATCATTGATGAAATCCCAAGCTCGGGGGAAAAAATTGCGGAGGTGGCGTTCACCGAGAAGCGTAGATGAATAGACCTTCGCCCTGACTAAGATGATGAGCAGTTTCACTGAGTCCAGGAGACTAGCATCGCACCTAATAGCCTCCACCGTGGCAGGGAAGTCTTTGCACAAGAGGCATTTACGCGGTTTGATGTGACAATAAAAGAGTTTGATACTGAAAAGTGTCCGCTCCTGACGCGCTCAGTTGGCCAAGGGATTCGGATCGGAACGAGCTGGAAGTACACAAATCGTCAGAAGACGAAATCGAGAACCTTTCGTGAGCTGGAAAGTGCAAAGCAGAGAACGGGCCACTCACTGAGTTACTGAGTCCACCCGGTACACCCATCTATTTGAACCCAAGAGCGTTCTATTGGCAATGTCATCAAGTAGGTACGGTCCTCT